TCGAGTCTTGGAGTGAAAATAGAGTCGTCCTCGTCGAGTGTTGAAGTACCGCTTGAAAATTCGAGGATCTATTTATTTATTTTTGAGCGTCGGTAGAAAGATGACTCCGTTCCCAGAAACGGTGAGTGATCTTTAATTGTGTCTTGTGGAGTACTCGTGACTTGCCCTAAATATTTTACCAGCACATTCATTGGTTAATTGATGGCAGTTGATCACCATATACGGAATTCCTACTCTAGGTGGATTCCCCTGTCGTAAACATGCAAATAATATAAAGATTTTAAATCTTTAAATTAAAAGTGATGACCTCACAGCGATAGGAAACTCACTTAATACAGTGGATATCACAGGTTTTCATTCCAAATTTATCTTTGAAAAATAGAGACAAAAAGAGTAAACCCTCCGCCAGGAATGCATTCATGGCCTCAATCAGTCCATTCAATATACTTCTCAACAACCTCAGCAATGAACTAAGCTCAGTGAATCTGCAAAGTCTGATTAATGTTTGCGGAGACCTTATCTCTGAGAGCGAACGCGAGAGAATCTCATCAGGTTGGGATGTGTTTAAAATTCTCATCCAACGAAACGCAATGGGAGAAAACCAGATGGGAATGAAGTTCCTAATCAGGATTGTGAAGGAATTGCGGCCCAAGAGACGAGATTTGGTCGACATGGTAAAGAAGTACGTAGAGGACCACTGTGAAGAATCAAAAGAGATACTTAATGACTTGGAATTTAGCTCGGATAACTACAAGCTGATTTTGCGAACTTCAATGCCTTTTCTTGGAGGGGACAATCAGTTTAATGCCCGCTGGGGTTGTAGATGTAACTGCGAATGTAATCAAGGCTGTAGCAAGTATTGCTGTTTCAGCGTGATAATAGCAATGCTTTTGATTTTCTCAGTTGCTATTGCATTTCATTTGATCCGCTTTCACCAACAAAAGCGGTCAGTTACACTGAAGAAGGAGCCAGAATTTGCCATTGGAGAATATAACGTTACTGCCGAAACTTCAGAAGTCAGTACCGGTCCCAGCTGGGTCTGGCCAGTTATCATTACCAGCGTCCTTCTATTCTCGGCAGCATGTCTTGTTTTACTTGCAATTCACCTCAAACGACGAAAAGGAAAACTACCCTGCACAGATCCTCAAAGTGATATCGGCAACTATGGCAGTCTTAACAGTTCAACAGACTTGACTGAATCAAGTTCAGCGTGCACAAACAAAATTGCTCGAAAAAATGACGGACACATATGTTCTTGTTGTTGTGGTCACATGACATTCACATATTTATCTGCACCACTGTGTTTAGTCAGTGCCAAATGGAGGTTCCCTCTACCTGCTGTGGGTGAAACTGAAAACGATTTGTTAGTCGAGTTTTGAGATCAAAACCCGAGAGATCGCAAAACATGAAAGCCACGCGCGAACAGATCGAGAAGACAAGACAAGAAGAGAAGAGAGGTGCAAAGGCGAGAGAAAGCAATATTTTGTGGCTCTCTCGCGAGTTTATTCAATAGGATCGGGGACATGCGGAACACTCTACCATTGCCTGTTCGTCAGGCAACAAATATTTCTAGTTTTAAGAAAGGAGTGAGGGAGTTTTTAGCTGGAAATGTGTGAGGTTATTATCACGCAGTATAAAACTTTGGAATGCTGTCCATATTATAATTATGAGTAGTATAGGGCGCATAACGTAACCTACACCGCTTGAGAAGCTATATTTAGAAGTAAAAAAAGGTCGGTGCGAAACCTAATACGATCCTAATATAGATAACGATATGAATCTCTCTACTTAAAACGCCAATTTAGAATATTATTAAATTGTTATACTCTGTAAAACCTACGCAAAGGCATGATGATATAACTATCTCTACTAGCAGCCTGTTTAGAAAATTATATATTCAGTTTTTACACTTTCATTATCTCTTATATACCTAAACAAGGCCATCATAACATGGTTATCTCTAGTAAAAGCCTATTTAGAATAATACCAAATTCTAATACTCTAAAAAACGCTCTATACCGGCACGGACTGAATCTGATATGTCGATCAGCCGTCTCCATCCTTTAACCCGTGGGGGGAGGGGCGGGGTAGAGAGAGTCTCTCCCCATAGTGCTCCCTCGACGGGGCAGGGGTTGGGAGGGCTGATATTTCCGACTAAATTTATCGTGTCTTGTCCAGAACTCGTATATATCCTAAATTTTTTTCCGCGGCATTCATTGGCTCTCAGTGTTCCCATTATTGGAAGGTGATCCTAATCTCTACAATCTATACATTTTGGGGGAATCCCCAAACGTTAACAATAACAACACAGTCAACATCATCACAGACGTATGGTGAGAAAGTTTCTGTACGGGTTCGTGAAATTCTTCGTTTTGTTTTCAGAGTAAAAGCGGAAGAAGGATAGAACGTTCGCTAGAAATTTCTTCATGGCTTCCATCAGTCCATTCAACATTCTTCTAAACAACCTGAGCAGCGACCTAAGCAAATTGAATCTACATAATTTAGTGAATGTTAGTGGAGAGCTTATCAGTGAGGTTGAATATCGGGTGATTCTATACATCAAAGTATTCTCACGGGGCCCCTGAATACCCCACCCCTGCCGACACAGGGCGGAAATCCGGCCTCTATGTCCGCACAAGAGCTTCAGCAAGTAGTGAACTCAAGGATCCTTGCTTCCGAGAGCACAGACAACCCATTCGTGCCCCAAAACGTCTCCGGGATTTCCGCTAATCAGCCTCCGAGACCCCAGGTCCTACTTCCCCACGTACATTCCCTCCTCAACCCCTCTGGTATCAGTTTCTTCTCTTCCTCTGGGGGAGAGGTGACAGTGTGGCCATTTTCTCTTAACAGCAGTTTGTTCTAACAGCAATACAACAAAATGGGTGTGCGAATCAAATTCAACCCTGTTTAACCCTTTAAACCCTAAGATCAAAAGTTGAATTCTCATTTGTTGCCCCTATTCATTTCCTACAGGAGTAGTGGGGAGAAGTTGATAAAATATCTAGCAAACTCGTGCGATCATGTCCGTAATTCTTATCACCACTCTCTTTTACAAAGCATTGACAATACAAGGAGGAATTTGATGCTGAGAACACTCTTAGGGCTTAAAGGGTTAACATTTGGATGGACAGACACGTGGTGAACTATGTTTACACTTAGTGTCTCTAGGTCTCATTTTAAAAGCCTCAATAGTTTCTGTTTATAAAAAACACTGGTTCATGAACATAATGATCTCTAATTGTGTTGATTCTAATGCAAATTCTCCTCATTAGTTACATTAGAAATAATTATAGAGAGTGTTAAGAATCTACCTATTGGTGTTAAGACAAGGTATTAATAACATATAGGGCGTTACTCAGAGGAAATTAGATAAAAGCGAGTCTCATTCTTAAACCTTTTTATTTTTAACTGACATCACAAGGAGCGGCAAGGAAACAGCGCGTTAAAATACGCTCGTGAAATGCGGCAAAAAAACGCGTGAGCTTGAAGCAAGACTAGAGCGCCTTTTCTTTCCTTTAACCAGTGTTTTACCTCTTGTTCAGGCTAGCTTGTTTTGTTTTCTGTCGCTTTATGACATTTTAAATGACCGAAATTAGCCATAGTTTGAAAATCGTGTGTGTTTAAGGTGTTTTCTGGTTGGCATGACCAGTGCAAAGTGCGAGAAAGTCACGCGTGTCAACCCACCTCTGTCAGTCACGTTTTGCAGGGTTTCATTCCAACAGCAGCTTTATTTTACAACGGAAGCACAACTTGTTACTGGATATGGTAAATATATACCTTCTTTCTTTGAATACTGAGAAGCTTGAAGATTAGATGATACTACGTCTGTAAGTGGGAGGGTCTTGTTGGATGTGTGACTTGTAACGCAGACTATTTGCGCGTATTATTCAAGGCCTTACAAGCGCTGATATTTATTAAAAAATTTTATTAATGAGTTTTGCACATTTGCAATCCTTTACATGGTAGGAAAAAAGGGAGTCATTTTGTGGCTGATGCCTCTTCTCCAAAGAAGCCTTAGATCTGATTTTAGATAAATTATACAAGTACATCCGCATCCTCAAGGGCTTTTCAAAACTGAAGGCTTGTTTACATGTACGACGATTAAAAGCACAAAAAAAGCTACGTATGAACAACGAGTAAACCAGTTTGTTCCAAGCAAAACGCTTTTTGGCGGGTGGTTATTCCACAGGGCAAAAACTGTGATAGGACTGGGGTTTATGGCCGTATGTTTCAATAGCACAAACTTCTTCTCTGTTGGTGATATTTTGTCACGTTGGTTTGTGCTGCCAGTACGGTAGAATAGCAGCGTCTAATCAAGCTTATCATCATAGCTTCCCAAAAATATGAGCTTAACTTCCCTTACTCTTCTCTTCCCCGCTATTTTGGCACTGTAAGGAGCAAACGTTTCCGTAAGGTTTCGTCTCTACTACAAACGTGCGGTTAATCAAAATCACTGTGCTGTGACTTGTAACCCGACGTTTAATGACCGTGTAATTCAACGAATTAGGAGGGGGGCATAAGGGTTTGCGGTGATGCGGTTTTGCGTTATTTTTGGTGCGGTTTTGCGGTAATTTTTATTTTAACTCGCGGTATTGCGGTTTCAAAACACTAAGCGGTTTGCGGTTATTACAACCTTTAAGTCGCGGTTTTCGGTGAAAAAAAAAAGTGTCTGCGGTGATAACACACTTTAGAACGGTCGGCATCCGGTTGTTTTGCAAGCGCGAGCCAAGTGTTTTGTTTTACAACGCATCAGGGTTCATTTAATATAAGCTCACAATTTAACTCTGTGGCTTGCAATTACGGCCTTTTCCAGTTAATACTTAATGTGATTAACCGTTTTGGCCAATGATGCGTCGACTTCGTGAAATTCTATGCCGGATGTTAGCTCGTACAGCCGTACAGCCTCGTGTTCTCGTTGCTTTGATTCAGTGCGCGACAAATGGCAACTGAGGTCGTCGAGGTCGCAACTGAAAGCGAAGAGGACGTAATTAATTGTGTGGTAATCTTCTATGAAGAAGGAAAGGAAGACGTGAACTCTTTACGAGACAAGAAGGTCAAAATTGCAGAAGAAACATTTATTCCGCGTTCCACAACTAGCACAGGGTCGTCCAAAGTAATCAGTCACCCAATGTAAGACATACAGGATCAGTGACAGAGTTTTTAAAGTCAAGGGAGATATCAATACTCGTTCAGGTACATGACCAGCATACTTGGCATTTAGTTAGTAGTAAATAGAGTATAATACACTGTAGTCAGGGGCATAGGGTCCATATACGCTCGTACGCCCGTGCGTACAGCTGAGATCTGAGAAAAATTTTTTTCTCATTAAATTTGCTGGCTAATAGTTTCATATTCTCACATTATACTGGCTTTTTTATTAGAATTCCCATTATCCAAGTATCAATCATTCAGTGCTGGCCACTAATAATGGCAAAATGCATTTGAGTGGTAAGCAAAAATAGGAAAAACGCCTCATGTACCTCTCCCTCAAGGTCAGCCAGCCTCACCAGTTTTCCCAGCCCCGCAGGAATTCTTGAAGGAGAGGTTACTATGCCATGACGTGTGGCTTGAGAACAAAACGTATTTGCCGTCAACGGATATTAGGAATATACCTGTGAGGTCAAACAGTGAAGCCCCAGTGATTGATTTTCCGAAGAAACTGTTAGAGAATCCTATGAATATTCTGCGACTTGAGGAGCGTGATCACTGGCTTCTGTAGTGTTTTCGTGAGTTTCGTGAGCCAAAGTACACACATATGGCTCGAGAATCCATACACGATTACTTCAACGTAATTAACAAGACAACTAAACAACGTCTACATGCACTGCCGAACGTAGCTTCACTCAGTAGCATGAAGAGACTAAAATCTCCTCTGCGAAGTACGATGAGGTACGAAAGATTAAGCTCCCTAGCAATCCCTCATATACATTAACATAAGAACGTGGATTGACAGGTTGGTAACGGAGTTTGCCCGTCTTAAGGGTCTAAGCCTCGCCCTTTGCTAGCCTGCGAGCAAGCTCTCCTATTTGGGCAAGCGAAGCGAGCCTTGCAAAAACGCGCGAGCGAGTGCCCGTCGCGGCTTCGCCGTTCGCTCGCGCGTTCTCGCGAGACTCGTTTTACTCGCCCAAATAGGAGAGCTTGCTCGCAGGCTAGCCCTTTGCTTGTGACCTGTCTTCATTGTTTTTGTACAACTTTCTACTGCATTTTTGCCGCATTATTTATTGAAAATGCCCCGCAGAAAAACCAGGAGATGGCATTTCCGAGACCCTAAATTTCAAAATTTTCTGGGGGAGCATGCCCCCAGACCCCCCCGAGATGTAAGCGCCTTAGGCGCTAACGCAAAAATTTATTCTCGTGCGTACATCTTCAAAATCCCACGCTACGCCCCTGGTAGTGTAGTACAATATATCGTTAGCGTTATGATGGTTTAATACTAACGCACAATGTTATGCACAATGTACGCGCCGTTTCGGTATTCGGGAAAAAATACAATGCGGTTTGCGGTTTTTTGGCGTATTTATGTGCGGTTTTGCGGTTTTCGGACCCCCCTTACGCCCCCCTCAATTAGACTATGGGGATTCCCCTTTCTTACATGGGATTGGGGTAGGGATCTTGTAAGGTAAATAAAATATTGTATATTACAGAGCAATGATAATGTTTTTGCCACATGACGTGACAAGATTCTCAAGAGGTTGAGATATGGCATGATGCTTTGTTCGTGAAACGGGGGTCGCAAAGCAGGGCATAAATTTACTTTCCAATCAAAAGCGGAAGTTAGGCTTACAAAGCATAAAGCGCTTAAAGATCGACAGAATTGTCGCGGAAAATTCAATTATGGTTTCAATCAGTCCTTTTAAAATACTTCTAAACAACCTCAACAGTGAACTAGCCCAAAGAAATCTTGAGAGTCTGGTACACGTTTAAGGAGAGCTTATACCTGGCGGTCAACGAGGGAGAATTACATCTGGCTGGGAAGTATTCAGTATTCTTCCCCGACAAAGCGCAAACGGAGAAGAACCCAGGAAGATGACGTTTCTACTCGGAATTATTAACGAGTTGAGGCCGAAGAGACGAGATCTAGTCGGTATGGTTAAAAGATACATAGAGAAACACTATGAACAGCCATAAGAGATACTGACTGACTTTGAGTCTAGCTCGGATGGTTACATAGTAATTCCACGATCTCCGACGCCTACATCTTTCCATGATTGTTGTAGTGTTCGTTGTGGATGTTTCAACTGTAGTTGTACTCCTTGCTGCAGCGGGTTTTGTTGCTTTGTGATCATAGCAGTATTCTTCATTTTTTTGGCAATTGCGGCTACACTGCTGTGGTACGTATTTCCTCGTTTTCGCAAACTTTTTAATTCCAATGACGACCTCAGAGTTGCTGGCCCGGTCATCATCGCGGGTCTGTTAGCCCTTGCAGCGTGCTGCATCTCATTCGGAATTTACATCAAACGAAGAAATAGGCAGCTTAATTATTCAGAGCTGCGAAGTGATATCGACTCAAGAAGCGTGAACGCTTCATCGGACTCAGTTCGCACTGGGTACGTAACGAAGATAGATCGCCGAGGAAGCAATGCGTGCTCGTGTCATTCCGGTCGCATAACAGACATGACAGCCTCAAGTTCATTCAATTCCTTGTGGTCGGCCCGTACACCATGGCCGAGGACTGATGCCGTTTTAGTTACAGATGGCTGCAACCGGCAGGATAACGAATTTACTCAGGAAATAGAACCGGAGGAGGAAGACAACGATGACGAATTGCTGTGGGTTCCCGAGAAGAGTCCCAAAACGAGGGCCCGTAATCGAGACTGGCAGAGCGAACAGTTGGATTTCCCCTGCACGGGTCAAATTAAGCATTGCATTGGAATAGTGTGTAATGGCTAAAGGAGCAAAGCCTTCGAGTTGGCCACTACCACAGTGCAATTACTGATGGGAGGTGGTTTCGTTCAGTTTGATAGCTGGTTACCCGCCGAGCTCAGAATGAACTAATCAAATGTAAAGGAAGAAATTATGCAAAGCTTTTAAGAACAAATTAATTAATTATGGAGTTAGAAGATGAAAGTTATTCACTGACGTTAAGTGGTAATAAATTGAGAGAATTGTATGGGAGGCACGATTTTAAAACTTCAATAGGGGAAGGATGAAGAAAGGGCACTCAGTTTGAAATCTTTTTCAGACCTTTCTGGATACTTCTGAGGTGGGTTCACACTAAACACTCTTGAAAAAGCCTTTAAAGGTCTTAGTGTGAACCCACCTATTGTTGTATCACAGCCGGAAGCGATGATAACGTTTTCTTGCTCCCTCAGTTACCTATTCTTGCTGAAGTTGTGCAAAGTATTGGTTCATTTTTCAAAAGAACGCGGAAGTCATCTAGTAAATAAAGAATGTTCGAGTAAGTCAACCAGATAATCAGGAGGTTCCACTGTACTAGGGTTTATTATGCTAGTATATATCGGTTGCATTAAAAAACGCGTCTTACGTTAAAATGAACAGCTTGATTGAGCTGAACGTCTACGTCGGAGCTTAGATCCGATTTGGTGAAACTAAAATTTACGCAGCTGACCCTTGTTCGTGCCCCGGTAAATTTCTGGCTCTGAGAATGAGTTTTCACAAGGAAGAATTTCATCTTTAAGTTTAAAATAAGCATCCTCTTCCCTCCCCCCACCACCACCCAGCCAGCGTTCGAGTTTCCGTACCCTCTCAAGTCTGCTAGGGGAGAAATAAGTTTTACCGGCCTCTGAAATTCAAAACGAAAAAAGTAAAATGGCTGAGGCTTAAAAGAGTATTTTTAGATGGTCATATGCATGTCTTGTGGAGTGCTCATGACTTGCCCGAAATATTTTGCCAGCACATTCATTGGTTAATTGATGGCAGTTGATCACCATATACGGAATTCCATACCCAAGGACTGATTTCCCTGTCTTAAACATGCAAATGACATCACGATTTTAGATTTAGAGGCTTTACTTGAAAAGGGATGACCTCGCAGCGACAAGAAACCCACTGAACACAGCTAGCGGATCTCACAGATTCTCAGACTAAATTTATCACTGGAAAAAATACAGGCAAATTGAAAAGCATCAACCCTCCGCCAGTTATGTAGTCATGGCCTCCATCAGTCAATTCAATGTACTTCTCAACAACCTCAGCAATGAACTAAGCTCAGAGAATCTGCAAAGTTTAATTTATGTTTGTGGAGAGCTTATCTCTGAGCGCGAAAGCGAGAAAATCTCATCTGGCTGGGACGCGTTCAAGATTCTTATCCGAAGAAATGCAATCGGAGAAAAGCCCATGAAGATGGCGTTCCTACTTGAGATTATAAAGGAGTTGCGGCCCCAGAGAAAAGATTTGGTCAACATGGTTAAGAGGTACATAGAAGACCACTATCGAGAACCACAAAGGATAATAGATGGTTATGAAAATAGCTCGGATTACTACATTCTAGTTTCACCACCTTCGGCGATGCCTTTACCTGGAGAATCGGATGAAGAAGACTGTCAGTGTAGTGCCCGCTCTCGTTGTTGTAGTTGTAACTTCCGATATAAGCAAGGGAGTTACTTCTGTTTAGCAATGTTTTCAATTTTGGTGATAGCAACTGCTGGCCTTACAATACCTATTGAGTTATTAAAGTTGAAGGGTCCTCACAGCCCACCACCTACACCCAGTACACCGAAACCGTCACAACCAACTTCAACAACTTCACGTCAAACTGGTGCTTTTATGGGTAGCAATGGCAATAAACAAGAGTACGAAAGGAAAAACGGAAACAACGCAAAAACGGAAAAACATGAAAATGGTAGTGCTAGTGAAGCTCCCACAGGTGCCGGTCCCGGCCGGTTCTGGCCAGTTACCATTGTCGTTCTTCTCTTCTTGGCGGCGTGTTTTGGTTTACTTTCACTTTCCGTCAAAGGGAGAGAGAGAAAATTACCATGCACACACCCTCAAAGTAATATTGGCAACTATGGTAGCATTAACACCGACTTGACCGGATCAA